CAGTCAAGAATGGGAGTTGTGCAGTAGCTCCCAAGCTGAGTGTGTCCATGATCTTCTCACTCCTGTCCCATGAAAGGGCACATCCTGGAGGGTGTGTCCCACCTGGATCCATTCTCATGCTTTAACCCCAACACAACCAAGGTTCTGAGAGATATATTATCCGAAGTAAATTCAACTCCAGTTAAGCCAAATTGGCCATATGAATCAGATATAAACTATTATTTCCAGTTGAACCAAATTGCACCAATGAATCTGCATCAAATTTTAACTCCAGTCAGACTAAATGGAACCAATTAAACACAACTTACGATAACAGGGATGGTGAGCGGAAGAAGCTCAAACACACACTTCATGTTTTCTGGCCGGCAATTGTTTTAAGATTCCCAGGTAAAGTGGACTGAGAAACCACTCCCTTCACACCAGCTGCCTGACTGTCTGGATTAGAACTTTTGCTGTGGGAAAACCTCACTTGGTATTGAGGCTCCTGGAAGAAGGACGCCTCCCCAAGATGGCACTGGCCAGCGTTTTGCCCAGGCCCAGAGCCACTGCTGCCACACCAAAATGTGGCCCCATGAGTGAATCCAGGACTGCATGCAGCCAGATTGGCAGTTTTATTCCCTTGTGTGCCTTCTAGAAAAAGAACTAGAAAAAAATGAAGCCTTGAGTAAGATCTTAAAAGAAAGAACTGATGAAACCAGAATTGACTTGAATAGTTATTATAATTCAGTATGAGTTCACATGTGCATAATTAGGATTTAGTGATGGCAGCACTAAGTGCAGGCCATGCAATTTAATCTAATTGGTTAGAAAATGTAAACTGAATCTTCAGATGAACCTATTCATGAAACATTTTCCATGAAGGCTGTTCACAGTTCCTGTTGAATGTGATCACTCATCCAAAGATGTGATGTTGATGGAATTGCATGGATGTTCATCTGTTATCAATTTAACATTATTTGATTAAATATAGAAGAAAAACAAAACATTTTCCCAGTTAATCACAGTATACATTGGCTCAACTAGGCTTGCTAATAATTTTGAACATTTAAACAGTGGAACTTTCAGTTCTGTTGATTTCATCTGATTTTTAAGTACTCCTGAATACAGATGATGCTATCATAACATACTTTGTGCGGGTAAATATCCTGATTTAAGTATTGGGGCTGGAAGTACGTAATTCAGAGTCCTTTGATTCCTCCGTTGTGCACTCTCTTGTCAGTGCGTTTCTGCATTTGTGTCAAAGAATGTGAGGGTTCTAGCTCATTGAAGTGAATAGGGAAGGCCTAGGAGCTGTGTGTACTGGAACTTTTGATCATAAGAAAAATTGGGTGAATTGTTTGTGATCAGTGTTTGAAACTAGGATGTTAGAAGATGTTCAGTCCCTCACTGAAATGTTTCTGTAGCCTTTGAGAATACATTGTTTCTGTAGCACTTGTTAGCAGAGAGTTGAATAAAATAACCACAAGTTGTAGAAAATATTTTCATGAGAAAATATTCTCCAGAAAAGTGGCTGGCCCTCTGGATGGTGAGGGAGGAAAAGGGGAGGTAGAGGGGGACTTGGAGATTGCAGAGAAATTAAATGAGTTCTTTGCATCTGTCTTCATGACAGAAGACCTTGGGCAGCTTCCTCTTCCTGAATGTCCCCTCCAGACTAATTAAACCAGATACAGGCTAAAAGAGAGTATGTTTTAGACCTGATTGATAAAATGAAGATTTTAAAATAAGTCACTGAGCCGATGGCATCTAACTAAGGGTTAATACTTTTCAAAAACTTTAGGGGTTAAATAATCCTAATAGTTTTTTAAAAGATTGCTGTGATTAGGTTTGTGAAGTTCTACATCAGTCAACAAGTTCCTGCAAGCAATTGTTGGAGAAATCACTTCAGAGACTGGGGCATCTTGTGGCTAACTTGGTATCAAGTAAGTAATTTATTAGACAAGCTGATATCATGAAGCCAGCAAGATGCCTTACCCTTTGTGAAGATCTTCTCTGTTCTCTAGCTGACATAAATAAAGGAACAGTGTCAAAATATCTTGCATTGGTTGCCCATTCATTTCTGCATTGATTTCAAAGTTCTTATGACTACTTATAAAGCCCTAAATGATTCTGGACCTCAATATCTGGCTGAGTGCTTTCTCCCACCCAGTTCTGCCAGAGACATTCGTTCTAGCCAGGCAGGGCGACTGAGGGGCCTAATGCCGAGAGAAGCCTGGAAGGAAAGAACGAGGAACTGGGCCTTCTTGTCAGTGGCCCCTCACCTCTGGAACAACTTGCCCGTAGAGATCTGCCTGGCTCCCTCTCTGGGTGTCTTCAGAAGTAAAATTACGACATGGCTATTTAGGCAGGCTTTCCCTTCGGCTCTATCTTAATATTTACATTTTAACATCTTGGATTTTTGCATATCTATAGGTTCTATTGTTTTAAAATTTTGTAATGCCGCCCAGAGTAAACCATTGGTCTAGATGGGCTATAAATCTAATATAAATAAATAAATAAATAAATACATACATACATACATACACACATACATACATACATACATGCATGCATGCATGCATGCATGCATACATGCATACAGTACATGCATACATACTTTATTTCAGTCAAAATAAAAAAAATAAGAAAAAAAGTGTCTCCTTAAAAACTAACTGGTATATTTTATACCAGCTTTTGTTGATAACTCCATTTTCTCAAATGTTCCTCTTTATTTTTTATTTTGCTTTTGTTTTTGTCTGATATGCTAGCACAGATTAACATGATTACCTCTTCTAAATTGCGGGTTTGTTGTTGATTGAGACAGTTCTAGGTTCACTGGTGCTGTGTGAGATGTGGGAAAATGCTAGAATATTTAAATTAATGAAGAGAAGTGCTAGGAGATATTTACAAAAATTCTGTATAAAGGGGTTCTGCTATTGCTAGGGAGACTATATTAAAAATACTCCAAAAATGGTGTTTGACCCACTTTAGCTCTCACATATCAATGGGATCTATGTGTTGAGAGGCTGTAAGTATTAGGGCTCATTTCAACATCACTGGTGATTTTGTGAGCTGTTTAATTAAATAAACAAAGGTAGTTGATTAATAAATCTCAAGAATTAGCACTTCTTATCCTTCCTTAGGGAGAATGAATCAATTTTATATAAATCCTTGGTAGGTCATCTTTTAGTAACTTCAAAACAGATTATAATAGCCAAAGGGTGGAAGAGTATCTACAGTGAATCGCAGCATAGTGGTTAGTATGCCAGATAGCACTGCAGGAAAAGTAAATCACCAAACTGTATATAAAGGGATAAAACATGTGGATTCTTTTGCAATGTACTGGCACCTTTTTATTGTTTATATGAATGGAATAGCTGATAAGAGACTCCCAGAATCATAAAGGATGTGTAGGTCTTTATAACATACTTGAAATATGACTAAAACTTTCTCAGGAAAGCATTATAAGATTTTTGGCTATGACTCTGCCATGAGGAATGAGAAAGGGGGAGTGAGAAGGAAGAAGAATACAGAAATATATAAATGTACAAATTTATGAATATTAAAATTGTAGAAATAAATTGAATTTTACAAAATTTAATAAGTCAAATGATAGGAGCTAAAGAACTTTAGTACATATTGAGTTCTGTATGGAAGTGAACTAAATAAATTATAAACATCTATTTTTTGCTGTTAATTTTTGTAACATGGTCAGCTGAAAAAAGCTTTTATTCCTCTTTTCGGTAATCAGAGATGTACATTATACCTATTATGGCCAATAGAAATGCCTTATTTAATTTACACTAAAAATGATTCTTAGAGGAGCATAAACAGTCTTCTGACATCTTAAAGATTGACAAAGACAGTCATGATACAATATATGGTAATCTTTGAAGCCTGTTCCTTCACATGAGACAAGCAGAATTCATTACCATGAGAAGCATTTCCAGATGGTTCCTTAGCAGTGCAAAATAGGTTTCATTTCCAGGCTGTATTTCCAGAGAAAACAGAACAATACATTTCCAGAGATCTCAGGAGTATATTATAGACACATTTTGTATGCACAAAGCCCCACCACCTTCAGGCAACTATAGCTGAACCTGAGAAATATCCCAGTTTTAACATCTGATGAGCTATTGCAAGTCGTAATTTTGAGCAACTTGGACCAATGGGTGGGCTCCCCTTTTGCTGTAATTCATGCACACTTCTTTTTCTGATCAGCTTCTGCATATTTGCAAACTGCTTATTATGGGTTTTCATTGCCTTGAAGGATGTAGGTCCTACAATTAGAAGCCAATTTACCAAAAGTGTGGTCAGAACTGCTTTGCTAGGGGCATCAGTATTGTATTGTTCTGTAACTTTTTGATGGTGCTGGTTTCAGACATACCAGTGAGATAAAGTGGGAATCTACTGAGGAGAGGCCAATCTCAGTGCTTCTTCAGCTGAGGAATGGCATTCCGGAAAGGCCAGCTTTGCACTTTATGTATGTTTGGGTGAGCTTTTCGTTCTTCTAGGCCTTGTGGTTCTAAGAGTGAATTTTGATCCGTTGTCTGCTTATCATTAGCTAATAATAAATATTTTTAGATAAAATAGGGTTCTGTTTGTTAAAAATTGTGTGAAGTCCCCAGAAAATTTTATTATTGTATACTATGGCCAATAGTAAAGCCACTCTTTAAGTGTCTCACTTACCATGAAAACCCTGTTAGGGTTGCTGTAAATCAGTTCCAACATGATGGTACATAGCTAACTAATACATTTTCTAGGAAGTGCTTGCATTCTGTAACAGGAAGAGAGAGTCTTCTGACACCTTAAAGAATAACAAACTTTACATGACATAAGCTTTCAAGAACAGCAGCACACTTCTTCAAATGTATCTGATGAAATGGAATGCAATTTAAAAAGCTCATAAAAATTTGTGGGCTTTTCAGATGTCATAAAACTCTGAATTGTTTTAAGTAAAAAATATTTATAAAGGAGGATTATGAACTGGACATAAATATGTTCTTATTTCTTCTGTTGCATAGGTGAAGAAACCAATGGACCCATATTTGAAAATGTATCAAGTGGAGATTCAGAAATTCCTGTCAACTCTGAGGTAAGATCTAACTATGTGTATAATTTGCTGTCTAAAACTGTAATTTAACATGTACAGAAATAGCAATAATACTGTGACAATTAAAAACTAGTTATATAACCATAAGTCTCTCGGGGAAATAAAAAAAATTAAATACAATTTAATTGCTTCTTTTCATCTAATCAATTATATATGCTTTTAAAGTAGTTTTGGTATGAGAAAATGCAATTTGAGTGTATAGTTTTGTATACTGTGATTATAGTTTGTTTTCTTTGTCTAACACTGACATGACAGACAAGTTCAATGGACTTGTTCTCTTATAAGCAAAAATATTGTAGCAGCTTGTAATCCAGTTTTATCCATGCTTTTAGAGATAATTTCCTGCGACTATTTTTGCCAGAATAGTGATGAACTATTAGATGCATATCTGACCAATTGAAGATGGTAGGCAGCATCAGTGGTTTGGTTTGGCATATTTCATTTATTGATGCTTAGCATTCTTTGAACTTTTAGACTTTGAAATCCACAGTTACCTTGTACTTACAGAGCTAAGTAAGTCCATTAGGTAGTTTTCAACCATTCTGTATGTGGATTTCTTGAATCTATGAAGACAAGAATCCATTTCATTAATTCTTTCCCTTGCTTTTAGGCCACCCAAACAGGTTCTGCATATTATTATATTTTAAAAGGATATCAGAAAGAGTAGCAGCCACGTAGAGCTGCCTCTCTTATTATTAGAAAAGTTGAGGTGGAAAAATAGGAGTGGAAAACCAGATTTGTCACCTCATATACAGCTCTACTGGATCATACAGACAGAGTTGACCATGACATGGGGGGGGGCTTAGCTGTTCACAGGAGAGCATTTTTTTTAAAAAAATCCTTTTGGTTGGTTGCAACATAAAGGAATTCCCTTATGCTGGTTTGGTGTAGGTGGGCTCCCTTGGTTGAACAGAGTGCCCTTGGCCTATGGATCCAAAGCTGGCTAAAATCCTTCCAAAGAATGCCCTATAATTTGGAACTCTTCCATTTTTTAGCTTCTGAAGGCATTGCTGTTGGCAGGAGCTTACTAACTTTACAAGCATAGTGTGCCCCTCTATCATGTGCTGCTGCTGCTCCTCATTGCAGATAGAGGCCAGTAAGGGTGAAGTTTTTGATATTCTAACCTGCGCCTGCTATCAACACAATATAAGGAGAGGGTCAGGATTGGTTTCTAAATAAAACTCTATTGTAACTGTTGTAGAGAACATGATATTGGTTAACTCAA